CAATAATGAATCAGTGTTTTGAATGTCAAAAATATACCGTATACCAATAAATATCCTTTCCTCCATCATACACGTCTCTATTTCCATTCTGGATAAATAATGTATTCTATAATAACACCATACGGCTTCATGTGCTCAATTCACCTAAATGTTTACAAAACTTATACTGATTTCATGATTATCTGAGGTAAAACTAAAGTACACTTCCCGTGGTCAAGGTCATCATTCATTGGTATGGTAAAGTGTTCACCTTACTACTAATACTAAAAATAGATTTGATTTTATTAAAACAGTTAATGATATTTTTTAAAAATTCACTCTATAAAACCTAATTTCAACAAACAACTATTCAATGTAACAACAATGAGATCATTATACGAAAATAGATTTTCCGTGGAATGGTATAATTACTATAATAAGTATGTAATGCAGTAATGATTTAAGTTGGAAAACAACCTTTGTCACTTTAGAATTCGAAAACGCAGCTACTTATCAACTGAACTACACACGATTAATTCACTGAATAAGAAGATGTGCTTATGGAAAGAACTTTAACTAGTATTTAGCAGTTTTTATTGATATATTGACAGTTGTGTCTGCTAAGTATTTATTTCAGTAATCTATGTGTTCAGCCATCAGTGAGAGAATGTTGGTGATACTGCTTAAGACAGCTTTTATTTAGCCAACTCGAATAGTGTAATTAACAATCTGTCATATATTATATCTCTCTAATTATATGTGGTTAAAATTGTGATAGGAAGCAAGTGTAGCGATGATTGATAAGTAAAATTCCTATATGTATTAGAGTAAATCCATAGGTCCAAAACCAGAATCGGAACAGCAAGACTGATCTTCATCATTCTGAAATTAGTTTGGAAATCTTCTGCACTCAGCCACCATAAAGAACAAAATTCGGATTTTCGAAGTCAATATTATAATCCGAATAAATCTGCTGAAGAAGCTGTGGCTTACATGGTGAAACGTTCAGAAAAATCTTGTTTTGATTTTCTTAACACGCTGGGATTAATTTAAATAGTTTATAATGAATCAATCTGACTCGGCGCTCAAATTATTCCAGGAAGTTAGTAACATCCACGATCTGGAAACCTATAATCTTATTAAGTCAGTCAGTTTTTCTATATGGGTCTTGAAACACATTTCCAACAGGTTTCAGACTTTTATCAACAACTGCCTTTGCTCTATACTGAAGATCAAACGGCCAGGAAGATTTGGTAACAACGAACTCTGCAAAAAAAGCAACCAAGAACCTATCGTTCAACAAATGTTCCAAAGAAAATGGAGATGGATAGGACAAACGTTGAGGAGGCCGTCGAATGACATAGAGCGCCAGGCCCTCCAGTGGAACTCGAGTAGGAAACAACGAGTTGGACATGAGTCCGAGGGTGAGATGGAGTAGATAGTATGAGGAGGAGATGAGAGACTATGGGCAATCATGGGACCAGCTAAAGACGACCGCGGAGAATAGGACAAAGTGGAGATGTGCTGTTGTAACCCAATGTTCCACTCTCAACCCAAGGGAATAATAAATGTAATGGGGTAGTAATTGTATCAACTAAGTATTTGCTTCAGTTATCTAGATGTTCATCTATCAGTTGAAATGTTGATGATACCATGTGAGACTGTCTTTATTCAAGCTAGTTCAACTGGGTCAATTTACAACCTTTCATCTGCGAGGTCTTTTTAATTCAATTGGCTTAGATTTTTAATCAGAAGACTTGTTTTGGAAGCGAGTATACTGATGACGGATAAGTAAAATTGCTGTATGTATTGAAGTAGACTTATTAGTGAGGATCTAAATGAAAAGTAAATATTTCATTGGAGAATCTTGTTGTCTTCTAGATATTTATTTATCACTTTATCACAAGACAGACCTACAGAGATTTCAGTGACAGAATTAAAACTGAAACGTGATTAGTGGTTGAATCTTCCAGATCAATAAATTAATAACCCGCAATCAGCTGATTCTATAGCCAATTTATTTCAACTCAAAACAATGGTCTGTTAAATCAAATCAGCCTTCTGAACTGAAGTGAATTCAAATGGTGTCATTGGTATATGTAGAAGCTTCAACAGATAGAAATGTTTTGATATCGAGTGTTTCTGGTAATCAGTTGATAAAAAGCTTAAGATTCAGGTTTTTTACTCATCAGCGACGACAAATATCACACTAGGAGAAATGAACTGAATTCTCAATGTAGAACTGCCTATAAAAGTACAGCAGTTTTAATTTAAAGTCTTCATAAATGTAGACATATTAAATGTGAAGAAACTATAATAAACGGAAATATATTCGACAAACAATAATTACATGGAGAATAATGAAAACTTAATGAATCTGGTAATTCATCAAAAGTGAATACCTCTTCTCCATTGAAAACGACTTTGAGTTGCACCACCAGTAGTGTCCAGTGACTGCTTCGTAATGTCTCGATGACCCCAACTAGGCAGTCCACTCCTCTTTATGCGACTCAAAGCAACAGTCAAATATTTCATGGATTGATCTCATATTTTGACTTTACCACCCCTAACTCTTTTCCAACACCTTTCTGTGTCAGCTAAAACTGCTCCGTGGGGAAGATTATGGCTTGGCAGACCATATCAACTGAGGTAGTTTCACAACCTCATTAGTCGACTTTATCTCCTTACTTCACGTTTTACTTTTAACTTCATTATTACTGATCATATCATACCATCCAACATATTAGGAGAACTTATGTTTTATTCGACGTTTGAGCCTATCGTCGCATTTTACGTCACTAAGCACATTTGTCGTAAAATGGTTTACGGGTACACTAGAATTTTACTCGAAAATGAAACCATATAATCTTTCATATGGTTTTCGCCTGATTTATTTCAATTCATTGGAATTCACACATTGGATGTATTTATTATCCTTTAGACAAGTGGTCAAATTATATCGTTCTTAGTATGCATAAAAAGCCAAAGTTCATTAATTACGAGAACGATTATTCACACCTCGGTAGGCTTGTGACGGCAGAATACAGTGGTAATTGACAGCAGAATGATTTATTTGGGGAAATATGACATAGACTGATAGGAAATAAAAAAAGCCTACATTGCAACTTGAATTTCCGAAAGTTATTTTTATTCTGTTTCCATTGTCTTCATTTCTCCCCTTCTTAACTTGATCCATTACTGCTGCACTCAGGATTCTTCGAGAAGACATCGACAGTATACTACTTACAAATTATTATTAGTAGCATAGCTATGGGTTTAATATTATTATTCCCTTCGGTTTCGGGTATAACATAGGGCTTCAGAAAAATACTCCATTTTGCTCTGTTTTATTGCAGTCTCTTTTAAGTTGACTAGATGCCCATAAGCTTTTAATTCCTCCTTACAAGATCTCTTCCATGTCACCCTCTGACGTTTAACCTGTAATTTCTTATTCGGGTTCCACTAGAGGGACTGGTGTGTGGTGGCATTTAATAGTCTCTTCAGCACATGTCTAATCCATTTCCATTTCCTTCGGCATATGTTTTTGGCAATTGGTTGTCAGAGCTCTTTGTTGCTTGGCTTTTCTGGCTGGCCATCTGATCTTTGGTGTGGAGCGAAGGCAATTGTTGATGAAGGTGTGTGGCCTGTGGGAAAGGCCTTTGGTAATGCGTGTAACATGTCACCAAGCCATATAGAAGCACTGCCTTGAGATTAGTTTTGAGAATTCAGGTTTTATACCTATTGTTCAATGCAACGGATTCATATACTAAGTGCAGAATAGTAGAGGTGCATCTCACTTTTCCATTCCTGACTCCAGCGTCCGTATCTGTGTCATCTGTAGTTGAAACGATGATGCCTAGATAAATGAAAGTGGCAACTCCTTTTGGATTTCTACAACTGATGGTGATTGGTTCTTGTCACTGATGCTGTTGGTTTATATCCTCATTATCTCGATCTTCTCCATATTCCTGTCTTTGCTGTTTCTTTAGCCAACTTGTTGGCATTTGCCTGTAGATTTTCACAAGCTAACATATCATATACATATCATGTTATTATTTTCAACATGTTGTTTTCTGTAAAACTCAAAAACAATTGAGCTTAAAATAGTGCTCAAATTCGCCACAGCTAACACCTTAAAGATGGTAACATATAATATACCATTTTCTGAGAATTATTGAGTTAAAACCCTTTTTCACCATGAGCTGACACTGGTTAGAGAACGATTAGAAAACCTGGGAGTACTCGACAGCTCTTTCGTCCTAGTCCGGGGCTCTTTATCAGCATGCACCTCGGGGTTCAAACTCAGGATCCTCTGGTTACAAGGCGGGCTCGTAGACCAATAAGCCACCGGCAACTGGCCTAGGTAGTTACCGAGGTTCTGGTGAGAAGTCATGAACAGTCGGGTACAGCAGGTCGAGTGTGACGACATATACTAGCCGATGACATTAGCTAGTGGTCACGCTATGTCATGAATTGGCAGAACTTGGAATTCAAGAGCCGTTTGATTTGGTTGCCTTGTAGTCAAGATGTCCTGGGTTCGAATCCCAGTGGGTGCATACCGCTGGAGAGTCCCAAACTAGGACGAAAGAGATGTCGAGTAATCCTAGATTTTCCAATCGTTCTCTAACTGAAGTCAGCTTATGATGAAATCCTGTAATCAATCAAATTCCTGCAAGTCAACACTTGGGTATAAAATCCTTTTCTTTGCTAATGTCTGAACTGTGAGAACCAGTTGGTATTGGCACACATATAAACTATTTTGATATGAGAACCGGAAGTATAGAAAAGTATTATGAAGGCTTTTAGTGGTATACTAGTCATTGCCTTTTGGTGTTTCCTTTGAAGTTTAAAACTGAACCAATCATCAATTTCTGTGTCAATTATCATGTCTACCTTACTTTATGCCCAAGCAGTGAACACTTTGCTAAGTGAATACTACCTTTTTTGACCAGTACTTTTACAACTGTAGAAAAAAGGAAACAAAAAGCAACACCAACGACAACAACACGATGTATACTTACGTTAATACTATGCCCTTGAAAAGCTCTTATCCGTAGGCGGTGATTTTCAGGATGTACAGAAAGTTCATAGCGTTTTTTATCATTGGAATTGACAACACGTGAAATATCTTCAACTTTAACGCCTTGAAATGGTTTTAATTCAAGTATTTTGTCTAAGTAAAGGTAGCCACCTAGAAGAAAAGGAAGACACATGGTCAGGACAAGATATAGAAAAGACAGTAAGTGATGAGATACAACCAACTTTTCTTTATTCATTCTTAATTATAGCGTTTATCATACTCAGCTGTATCGCAACATATGTTTCATTGCAGCTCTTTGGCAGTACGCTTTAGGTTACGAGGTGAGTCCGTTTAAAATTATCCTAGTTCTGATTATTGACTGACTACAGGATGGAGTACCAATAAGTAGTCGAGGCTAGTAGAGTCCATCAAGTCGGGCGTGGGGAAAACCCCCCACTGATAACGTTGGCTGGAGGTTTCCCTTTATATGTCACTATTTGGCGGAAGTTAGAATTCATGAGCCATTAGATCCTGTCACAATGGCTGAATGATTAACGGCCTGGCCCTCTTAACTTGAAGGCTGTGAGTTCGATTTTTGGAAGCGTAGTCATGGGTGCGTACTGCTAAAGGGTACCAAATTAGGACTAGATAGCTGCTCAATGCTCCCTTATTATCAGTGGTTCTCTAATGTAATATATTGCAATATATTCGAAATGAGTCGAATCTCTGCAAGCTAATAATTAAAAATTTATTTATTTCTATTACAAACCGGTAGATTTAACAATCAGGGACTGCCCAAATATGTATTAATAATGGTGATAATAGTTTGCAACCTACAGCTTTACTTGTGAATATATCGATATTGTTAATTCTGTTGAAATCAGTGTTTTCACAAGTACGGATAAACCTCTGCTGTATATGTAACTATGGTTACATCTTGAATAATTTTGAAATGGGTGTCAAGACTATGGTAATGTGAATTAACCTGGTCGATGATCATCAGAAAATGAGTCATATGTGCTGTTTTCATAACCAAAGAAAAAAATATGATATTTAAGTGCTGGTTTGTGGGGATTTGGTTGGTTACAGGATTTCATCATGAGCTGACATTGGTTAGAGAACTATTGGAAAACCTGGGAGTACTGGACAACTGTTTCGCCCTAGTTTGGGACTCTTCAGCAGTACGCACCCACAGGGGTTCGAACCCAGGACCTTCTGTTTAAAGGGTGAGCTCGTATACCACTGAGACCCGAAACAATGTCCCATGAATTCTAATTTCTGCCAATTCACGACATAGCGCGTGACTTTGAAATGTTCAAGGCAATAAAAAACAATGAACACCATTCTGGGAACTTCTACTAAACAGTATTTGGAGTCAGTCTGTTTAGATGAATCTTTGTGATGTAATTAAATACATCACCACTACAAAACCAACCAGTAACAAGAAAGCTCTAGAGATTGAGAAATCTGAAGTTTTTCCAGGTGACAAAGAATCCTGATGAAAAAGAACATAATTAAAGTGTTTCAGTTCACTTTACATTTGAACTTGAGTAATAATACCGGCAAACACAAACACACATGTATACAGATGTGGTTTACAATGTACGTAACGGAAATCACATGATTTCTGAGCCACTGTGTAAAGGAGATAGGATTCAATACAGTACTCCTTCAAAAACACAAGCCAAGAGATGAAAATTTAGTATCTGATATTTGGATGTTCCATGAAAATCTGTGTTATCTGTGAAAAATGAGTGGTCTTATTCAACAGGCTTCTGTGGTAACTTAGATGATTTCACAATGAATTACGGCTTTTACGTTTGCCAGTAATAGTCATTTGTGCGGTGCGAGTTAACCTTTTTTTATCAGGATACAGAAGAGATCGCTATCGTATTTGCAATTAGGTTTGTACAACCCACGGTACACATGTGGCAGTATTATTTTACTTGAAATGAATGTCATGCTGACTTACATTAAGTATCATGTCTGTTGTATAGTGAGACAAACAGTTTAATTAAAGGGGCCTGAAAAGTGTTGGTTGCTATCGTTGTAACGTTATTGCGTTTCTCAGAGCAAATGATATTCATACCAAAGTCAGACAAGCAACCTATGTGTGTTACGAGCCCTTGTCGGCACCAGTAAGATATCTGACCTGAAGTAAAGGATTAGATCAAACAATAGTCACAGCCATCCGTACATAAAAAATGGATGCTTTTTTCAACTTAGTTCAGATCACTAAGATTAATATAATGTTAGGATAGTGGGACAACTAGAGCACAACGCTATAGACTAGCAACTATGACGAAAAAATTGATTCAAGTGATTTGGATGCATCAGCAATTTATTTCCATATGAACAATTAAGACAATATATTTTTGTTTTTACTTTGTGTAGGCTAATTTTTTTCCTGTTGACTGGATTAGCTAAAATGTTCGGCTTCTGTTGACAAATCGGCTACTGGTATTGTTTGGAGGATAGTGATTAGCAATGGAGCAGAGGATGAGCAGTTTTTCCTATTTAGGACTCGTCATCTGAATGAAACTGCAATCAGTGTTTGAGTGATGGCGTTACCACTGAGATTCGAACCGAGTACCCATTGTTTCAAATACTAAAGCCCAGGTGGTCTTGTGGATAACCCTTTGGCATTTGAAAAAATAGGTGTTTAGTTCTAGTCTCAGTGGTAACACCAGATGATGAGTATCAAACAGGACGAAACGTACATCCTGAATCCAGCTACTAGTCACCATCCACTAAATAACATATTTTTGCTTTTCAGCTTTCCTTTGTAAGTTTATGAGTACGAATGTTTTGACTCTTTTGCTTTCTATAGTTTGGTTTGTAAGGATTAGTTATGTTTTACGGGTTGATCACGGATTGATATAAGTTAGAGAACCATTGAAAACCAGGGAGTACTGGACAGCTGCTGTTTCATCCTAGTTTGGGAATCATCGGCAGTACGCACCCACTGGGATTCGAACCCGGGACCTTCCGGTTACAAGGCAAGCTCATATACCATTCAGCCACTGGGACCCGATTCAATGGCTCGTGAATTCTAACTTCTACTAATTCGTGATTTAGCGCGACCCCAACCATTGTCGTTGGTGGGACATCCATCCACACACGTGACATCTAATTGGACCTCACTGGTCACGACTTCTCACTAGAACTCAGGAAACTCCAACCTGTAGCAAGTCACTAGCGAGCATCAGATCAACTTTCTATAGTTTGGTTTGTAAGGATTAGTTATGTTTTACGGGTTGATCACGGATTGATATAAGTTAGAGAACCATTGAAAACCAGGGAGTACTGGACAGCTGCTGTTTCATCCTAGTTTGGGAATCATCGGCAGTACGCACCCACTGGGATTCGAACCCGGGACCTTCCGGTTACAAGGCAAGCTCGTATACCATTCAGCCACTGGGACCCGATTCAATGGCTACAGGTTGGAGTTTCCTGAGTTCTAGTGAGAAGTCGTGACCAGTGAGGTCCAATTAGATGTCACGTGTGTGGATGGATGTCCCACCAACGACAATGGTTGGGGTCGCGCTAAATCACGAATTAGTAGAAGTTAGAATTCACGAGCCATTGAATCGGGTCCCAGTGGCTGAATGGTATATGAGCTTGCCTTGTAACCGGAAGGTCCCGGGTTCGAATCCCAGTGGGTGCGTACTGCCGATGATTCCCAAACTAGGATGAAACAGCAGCTGTCCAGTACTCCCTGGTTTTCAATGGTTCTCTAACTGATATCAATCCGTGATCAACCCGTAAAACTCTTTTGCTTGTTGACTTTCTGGTTAACAAACCAAACTGATACACAATTAATCCAAGTTTTGTGTCATATCTGTTCATCTTTCGATGTGTATAAATAAAATACTCAATGAAAACCGGTAATGTAAATTATGCCGCTATTTAGTGACTGAAGTCTCAAATATAAGTCATATGACCCTTCCGTTAGCAACATTAGAAATCGTGTGAATTAACGGCAGTGATACTATATAATTTCAATTTTGATCATGAATTGATTTCAATCAGGGAACCATAGAAATCCAAGGTGTACTAAATAGCTGCTTCGTCCTTATTTGGGGCTCTTCATCAGCATGAATTCGCCTTGTAGCCTTCAGGCCATAGGTTTGATCACTGGTGTGGTCATCAGCGCATACAGTTGAAGAGTCCCAGACTATGAAGAGCCAGCTGTTGAATATTCTCCTGGTTTCCAGTGGTTGACTAACTCAAGTCAATTCATGATCAAGGTTGAAATCAGTTGAATCCCTGCAAACCATCACTTGAAAAGATAAGTGAATTCTCCAGATAGGGATATCAAAGAGGTGGGTCTCATTAGAAAAGACAGCAACATACCAGGTTCATATTTTAACCCAACATTTTCTGCCCCATGACGTAGAATCCAAGCTAACTTTTTTGATAAAATAACATCAGGATCTTTCTAAAATAAAGAGTGGAAATCAATAAAACCAACTATTCACTATTATCGTACATTTAATTCAGGTGGTTTCAAGCGAACTTTGGATCCTCTAACACTGAAGCGTAATAATGCATCATTATGAACCACTTCAACAAGATCTTCATATGTACAATTTTCTTTCTTAAATTCTGGTAGTTGAATTATTTCGTCGATTAGATAATAATTCTCTATAGAATATGAAAAAAAAACTAAGGATGAAAAACAGAAAAAATAAGACAAACTGCTGTTATTAATATAATCAAACTAGTTTATTAACCTTCATATAGTAACCAACCTACGTTGCCAGTCTTAAGTATTTATGCGAATCGGTTGATCAAGTGTGAGATGTGTTCACTTAAGGTAAATGTGATTTAACAGTGCATTAAATTGCATTATTTTATTCATTTGTGTTCCAACTGGAATGTAGGGCTGAGAGCTTGAGTTTTAAAGTCTCAGTAACAGTGATGTTTTTTCCTTAACGACTAGAGTTGCTAGTCTTACACCAAACCTTCCCCCTTTACCGGGCTTAATACCGAACCCCAGACAATATCGGTAGTTGACAAGTATACCGAAGAGGTCGTCCTTAGTTTGATACGCAACAAGCTCTTAAATGCTTTCACAATTACATTTCTCTTAAATTCACTATTTATAAATAATTTTCAAATGTTGTTTTGCGGAGATTTAATGGATTTCAAGTTAGATTGTGAAATTAAACAGTTGGAGAACCAGTGAAGACCAGGGAGTATTGAACAACTGCCTAATCCCAGTCTTGGGCTCTTCAGCAGCAGGCACCCATGACTGCACTACCAAGAATCGGACCTTCGATCTTCAGGTTACGACACGAGCGCGCTGATCATTCAGCCGTCGCGGTGGAACCCGAAGGCCTATGGATTGTGACTTCTGCCAATTCGCGATATGTACTCCGGCCGCCAGCCAATGTTTTTGGTGAGTATCTGTTCCCACACTCAAGCTGGTATACCTCATTGGTAACGACTTCTCATTAGAACTCTGAGCACTGCAGTTACTGATGAACAGTAGACTTATTTTCAAGTGTTTGCTTGCAGAGATTTGATAAATAGGGTCTCATATTCCATTCAATGGCTGATTTTAACAATCATTTCCTCAGTAATCCAGGTTCTCAAATTATTACATTGCATATACAGGTGTGTCTAACTTTTGTGTAAAATAAGCGAATGCAGTTTTTCTCTGCTTAATGGTAACAAACGTTGAGAAGTATCATATTGTTCATTCCAGTTTGGTTTTCTGTTAGTTGATCATTCTGGACGACTGTCATCATGTTTTGCGTGAAACATTAAGAAAGTAAGATTTTTAATTTAACTTTAGTTTCAACGTGGACTAAACTGAAAACTGCTGTTTTCATCCAAGGTTACAGTGGGCCACCCATGTACTTCTTATGTTAGGTGAAAACAGTCGATTATAAGAGGCAATACGGCGTTCTTGAAATTAATTAAGGTAAAATGCCATAGTGAATTAATTCTCACTAATTCCATTTAATTCACAGACTTCATTATTAAATCTGGAATCCATAATAAAGGGGCGCTGCAGCATCAACGTTTTAGGGGGTGTTTTGAAGCACCAACTTTGCGAATCGTTTTTTCATTATGACCAAACAAAAACTAAAGATTGATCACGGACTGATATCAGTTAGAGAACCACTGGAAACCAGGTAGTACCGAACAGATGTTTCCTCGTAGTTTGGGACTCATAGGCAGTACGCACCTATCGAACCCATGACCTTTCGGTCACAAGCCAACCTCGTAGATCATTCAGCCACTCGGATATGACTCAATAACCCGTGAATTATAACTTCCACCAGTTCGTGATTTTGGTGCGACTGACATCAGCCAGTGTCATCGATGAGTATTTGTTCTCACTTCCGATCAATTGGGCCCCACTGGTTATGAGTTCTCACTAGAACTTCCTGCAGACAACTTCGTCCTGTAGCCAGTCACTAGCTAATATCAAATCAGTTTTCATGTGTTCAATACCCAGTGTCTGGGTACTGCCAATGAGCCCCAAACTAGGACGAAACAACTCTCCAGTACTCCTCGATGGTTTTCAATGGTTCTCTAAGTGATATCAATCCGTGATCAAACTTGAAACAAATCAAATCTCTACAAACAAACTCATGAGAAGAAACCAAGGAGATGAAAATAATTTCGTGAGGCTTATCCCTATGGAGGAAGTGGCAAATCAGTAATACAATCTAGTGAGTGCAATTTGATAATATATAATCTCTTACCTGGTAAACTGGTAAATTTACAATTGTGTTGTAACTTCCCCTTTAGAAATAATTCTAACAGATTTGCAATTCTTTCATATCTATCAACGGATTTACGCTGCTAAAAAAAGGGCAAAGAAAACTGAGACACATAAGCAAGCACTGAAAACGTCCGAAAGTAAAATAGAAAAATCTATTCAACTGATAATATTTATACCACCAAGAAGACTGCTGAAATTTTAAAACAAGAAAAAAACGCAAACACTCGTGGACGGTTACTTATCTATCAGTGGTGTTAGGCATACTCTGTGAGGTATACACACATGATAAGTATTGAGAAACTAAACAATTTAGAAATATTTATTGAGCATTCATTACGATCAGTGTAATGACAAACATGACGAGTATAATTTCGGCTGCAAATTTGAAGACTTGTTTGCAGAAGTAAAATAAATCCGTGAATTATAAACAGGAGTTTCCATTATGAGATTTCTGGGATTCATTAAACAACTGACATAAATTTCTCGAAAAGCAAACTTGTTGAAACATAGCTTTTGAAAAAAATTAGTCCTACACATTGATTAACGACGTAATTATAAACACGTAAGTCAGCAAAGAGAGTTCTTTACGTGACTTCATTTCGAATCTGTAGAGTTACTCATAGGGTTTACATGTACAGTGTTAATTTACACCAAACGTTAGGGGTTAATAATAAAATAAACTCGATCAACTTCGTCCTGCAGCCAGCGACTAGCGAGCATTAAATTATTTTTCATGAGTTTGTTTGTAGAGATTTGATTTGTTTCAAGTTTGGTCACGGATTGATATCACTTAGAGAACCATTGAAAACCATCGAGGAGTACTGGAGAGTTGTTTCGTCCTAGTTTGGGGCTCATTGGCAGTACCCAGACACTGGGTATTGAACACATGAAAACTGATTTGATATTAGCTAGTGACTGGCTACAGGACGAAGTTGTCTGCAGGAAGTTCTAGTGAGAACTCATAACCAGTGGGGCCCAATTGATCGGAAGTGAGAACAAATACTCATCGATGACACTGGCTGATGTCAGTCGCACCAAAATCACGAACTGGTGGAAGTTATAATTCACGGGTTATTGAGTCATATCCGAGTGGCTGAATGATCTACGAGGTTGGCTTGTGACCGAAAGGTCATGGGTTCGATAGGTGCGTACTGCCTATGAGTCCCAAACTACGAGGAAACATCTGTTCGGTACTACCTGGTTTCCAGTGGTTCTCTAACTGATATCAGTCCGTGATGAAATTTGAAACAGATCAAATCCTTACGAAGAAACTCTTCAAAATAAAATAAGTCAAAGTATATAAGAAATAGCAATGTGTGAAAAGTAGTGAACAATCTCACCTAATCAGGGGAGTTGACGATTAATTACTTAAGTGGTCTATAGTCACTTGAAAAATAATTGATAGGAAAAGTTATAACAAATAAAGACTGAATGGAGTTTATTGTGTAACAGGTCACGGAAATAAAATAGGCACAAAACTCATGTTAGTAAAAAAGGGGTAGTATAAAAGCGTTTCAGAACATAAAGTCCTGATTTCTCCTTATGGACTACTATAGCTCTGGTTGCATAGAGGCGCCGTTATTAGTCCTTTAAGTTTGTTAATTAACACTTCATAGAATAGTGAGCACATCAGTTTGACTTTTTAGAATTACCTGGATGAATTTTGGAAACAAGAACTTGGAAATAAACATCAAGGCAAAAAAGAGGAAAGTATGTTGAATCAGTCTGAATGTCATCTGAAAATTTTGGAAACATTTCAACTCATCAAAAAAGAAATTTACAGAGAAATTAACGATAGATTCTCTGGTTTAAAAGTGAGAGTTAATGCCTTATCAATTTTCTTGAATGTATTTTATAATATGTATCAACTGAAATTTTCTAAGCTATGGTTCAAACAGAGGGGAGTAGCAGAAAATAATACGATCAGTGTTTATTGCATGTTTATGAGATGAAGGACAATGAAGGCTACACAAGATACTCTGTATACCTGCGTAAATGTTTACCCTGTAACTCCCAAAGTACTTGTTCTACTGAGACTAAAGATAAACCAAAACGATAAATCAGTCGTTCAAAATACGAGATATATTTCGGGATCAGAAACGTGAACGTGCATTACCGAAAGTAATGCAACATTTTGTCACTTTCCGCAGATACTTTACCACATGCCTTCGGATTAACAAGTCAGCTTAAACAATGAAGGTTAGCATCCAATGTTGAATGAAAAATGATGTACACTAATAATTTCGAGGAATTATTTGCCGCTGCACGTGTTGTAAAACAAGTATACTCTTCTAACGTTAGAATTCAAGCGACGTTATTATTTCCTCAGATTATCAAACATTATTAGAAGCAAAAATAATCTTTATATATACAAAGCATGATGAAAGACCACTGAAAATGGCCAAATCTTGCTTTTCTTGGCAAATACGAAAGCAACAAGATAGTGATTTGCTGTTCTTTGTCATCATTATAGTTAGTTTTGAAAAAAAATTGATAATCTTAATTGCCAAATTACAGTAATATGTAAAGAAGGAGTTATTGTTAACTGAACACAATTCACACACAATATATTAGCAGCATTTAGTTCAGATTAGAGTGGCAAATTTACCGTTGATAACATGTTACCCACACTGTGTGGTGCAGTATTTATTTGTTTTTCAGCTGACTTTGAAGTGGATGAAGGGGATGGACAACAAAGATAGAAAATTCCACGAGAACGTTTTTGACGGTTGCCAGCCGACTGAAAATTTTACAAAATATTTCAAAAAAATGTGAACTGAGGTCAAGGAGTATAGTTCTAAACAATTACACTAAATAAATTTAGGTATTGTCTGGTTGGTAGTAATAACATGATGGGGGTGGGTGCACGTTACATTCGACACGATACTTGTCACGTAGATATTTATTTATGCTGCTCTTATAACTGATGTCATAACTAATCAACGTGTTGAATAAAGAGAGATAGGTGCAAAACAGGTACCAAGTAAAGAGCAACTCAAAATAATCATATTAAGGGGTTATATGAAAAAGGAGAGGTGAAGCATTCAAAACAGCACTTATTACTTCCACATATTTCTCTGTAAAGGTAATCTTTCAAGTACCTAATGACGGATTATCTTGAAGTGCGACAGGAGTCTTTATGCTCAATCGAGTGCTAATCCAAACCAAAGGACATTTATTTCATACCATTACGACTTAAAATGACTCGTATTTTTCCAACTGTCCCCCGTCAGAACAAAGGATGGCTGATGTGGGAGACTTACAATACAGTCCGTAAGGGATATTTAAGATGTTGAGATAGGTCTTAAGATGATTTAATTGGAAAGCATTAATCTGAATCATTCACAAATAAAACTTAGGAGGACTTTTTTACTTTATTCCTTTACGTTCCCAGTGGAACATACGGCTTCAAGCGAGAGGTTTGAAGTTTCGGTAGCAGTGGTTTCATTTTCACGAGGTGGAGATGGTAGCCTTACTTCCAACCCTTAGTCTTAATAACGGCTTAGTGAGGCTTAGGAGTGCACTGGTAAGGGATCGAACCCCTGACCATATGCGTGGTTGGCGAGCACTTTATCATTGAACCGCCGATGCACTTACAAAAACATTATTGTGCTCAAGAGATTATATAGATATTGAATAAATCGTACAGAAAACTGTGAAAATCATCATCAAACAAACGGAGAGTATTAAGTTTCTAAGACGCCAAATTACCAGCTATACTCATACTTAACTTCGTAACTAAGATTTGGTCGTGTTACTCTGAGGTTTTCCAAAAATAGATCAATGTTGCTAGTTACACCTCTAAGAGAGCTTGCACAACACAAGCTTTTTCACTGTTACTAATGTTTCACGGTAGCAAATGAGGGTATAGATAATTCTTCAGATTTTTTAATTAATACTACTGTTGGACGCAGTGTACACATCTGTTCACTTGGAACATTTTTGAAGAGGAATTTCGTGTGTTAATACAATTCCAAAAGACGACTCTCCTTAGTAGATATTACCAGAATATATTTCTATTAAAAATCGAAAATAACTTATATGAAAATATTAGTGAATCGCACAGTATGCGGAATAAGGTGAGCACATGACTGGTCGGTTTTCATACTTTAAGAAATGTAACAAAGGTCATTTCTGGACGTTTAGGTGTTAACTATCAGAATGGTAATTCACAGTAGCCTTCTATCGGTATGCGACAAGATGGTGTGTGGGCATAGCTGACAGCAACTAAAAATATTCCCACCAATCTAGATGTTAACAACAACTGAACAAAACAAAATAGGAAACTATTTGTCCCACTATTAGTAAAACTGGATGTTGTTACAAACGGAAATACCTAAACAGACGAATCTTAGATTTCATACCAGCTGCTAAGACGGAAACCAAAATGTGACTAGTGGTAATCTGGAGACACTTTAGCTGGAACTATATGAACCGAACTTTGACGTGTTGTGGTTACAAGCCAATAAGTTTAATTAAATAAAATGCTCTACTTCTTCAGTGTCTCCACGTTTTACGCTTTAGATTACAGTAGGCGATTTCTATTTTTCAAAGTCTTTACAGGCAACAGTTAAAAAAATTGTGGACAATCTCATTTTATTGTTGAGACTGAAAGTATTTACACTCACAAGTTGCCAAGTTGAGCGTAAAATCTAACCAGCATCCTTCACTTTTCTTACAATGATTACCTTGAAATACATCATTATATTGGATGATTAAAGCAAAATAATTTGAGATCAGTTACATCACAGAACTGGAGTCGGGCTGAAGTTTTGTACACAGTACAAAAACCATCAAAAGGTCTATTTTCTGAGCTTAGGTTGCCAGCGGTTGCTTTTGTCTTATTGATATTAGAATAGAACTTATGCACAGACTTTATCAAAATAGATTTTATCCGCAATGAAATTTGTCTTGCTGAACTTGTTTCTTTTAAAATCTCCATATGTTGGAGGCAGTTATGCTGATCATGCATGTATGATCATTCGAAACCCACTGTTATCTTTTATATTACCCAGTATATAAGGACATTGAAAATTTATGTCGTAAACTCGGACATATTCTTTTTCACTGCATCCCTTACATTGTGTACGTGACTAGGAATAAACTAGTAGATTCCAAGAAAAACCGCACATAGTGGACTTAGTAAACAGTACTCCTACCGCCAATAAATGTTCAAAAATTTATTTTGGTGAAAGAATCTGATTTATTTATTTATACAACCAAAATGCATATTATGATATCCATTATTGAACTCCATACACTAGGTTGTGTTGTCTTACCTAATCATCTTATGAAAAGCATTTGTCATATGCAGCGTAACATATTTAATCAGAAAGTTCCAATTAGTTGATTTTATGTACAAAGGCATCGACTTCAGACGTCCCGAGATTTCCTAAGAAAAAGGATTACGTTCCCTTCCACTTTTTGTAAGAAATATTGACCTTATGTAAATGTTTTGTATTTACACATGTCAGATAGTAGCTCACCTCCTTGAATTAAACCGAATACATTTATGGCAGCAGAGACATTAAAAGCAACAGTTGAGTGGATAAAAATGTAGCTTCACTTCTACTAATAAGAAGTTTACCTCTAAAACTAGACTGAATAAATGGTACTCTCTGATTTCTATAATAACTACTAAAGCTGTTAGCATGACTGTACTATATTACTTATTAAAACACAAAGTTGAATTAGCGCTCATCATCTGAGTCAGACTGTAAACTGAGGTGTTAAATAAAATGCATTATTTATTAAGGATTGGAAAACGAATACTAAAGGTAGCAAATTTAGAGATTTCTAAAAATAGACTACAATTTATGCCTTACAGAGGTTCCAAATAGTGAAGCATGTTGTTATATTAACCTCATCGTGACACAGAACCATGAAGTTCATGAGCTTGCAATAATCAAGTGTGTTGGGAGAATAAGGCATTGCAGAAATGGTGACAAAAATTAAAAAACTGCAGTGTAGAAATATTGTTGTAAAAAGCAGACTCAAAAGTCAAAATAATCAAACATGATGATAATGAGGAAAAAATACAATGCGCTAGAAATAAATTTGGGATTTACATTACTTCAGCACAGGTTAAAAGCAAAGGACGCATTATACCACTGACCTGGAAAATTGGCGATCGCAGACTCAATAACCGTTATGGTTGATTTTGCTTTAAATTTATGGAATGACTGTAAATTTTTGAGGCAACAGTTTCGCAAGAGCATGAGGGTCTGTAGAATCGATCCTACCAGATCGCCTGATTTTGGCAACCAGAACTCAACAATCCTCAGAAATTCATATAATAAGAGGAAATTTGAATTCCTAGCTGATCACTACGCAACTTAAGGTTAAATATCTCCATGCCAGTAAACTCTTAACACATATCTATTGCAAGTAATGTCTGCATACTGCATTTGGAGCTATCCATCATTGAGCAAATAATCTCATAATTCACACATAGGATGCGAATGTAAGTTAAGTTTTTAAAAACAACATACATGGTTTGATAGTTATCTTTCAACATAAGAAGGCGATAATGACATACTCACTTTCGAAACACCCTCTTTCTCTGACATTCGAAAATGCGGTTTTTAAGAGTTCATTGCGTCGAAGTCGTATAACAAGTCTCAGTTGAAAAAAAATATTTATTGATGTTGATGATGGTTTGCGCGAACTAGTTAGTCGTTTTTGAACTTACTTTACTCTACGAAACACAGTTTAACTTTTAAAAAACCTGAAGTCATTAGGTTTCAACAGCTTCGAATATTCAATATCCAATATCCTGATTACGAGCTAGTATAAACCAGTGATTTCGTTGAGCTCGCTTCTTGATTGTGAGGTAGAGGTTCCAGATCTTCGGTGAGCTGCGTAGTAAGTCCCGCACTCGACTGCTTTAGCTCTGGTAGACTCCAGGAGAAGTGGTGCGGGGATTGGTCGAGATGTGGTTTGTAGTATGCAGTATGTTAGGACTGTATTGCTGCCGTGAATGGAGTTTGACCTAACTCCCATTGGTCATTCGGTGTAGTCATAAAAAGCAGAATAGTAGTAATAATTAGAAGAATAAAAATAATGGGTTGTAGTGTAGATAATATAGGTTGAGATAAGTGGAATAATAAAGGTGACCTAAGGAATAGATAGAGTGAGAGAAGGCAGAATAGGTCGTGGGGATTTAGTTTGTACGCTTATTCATTGACAGTGTGGTTTCAAGTTTTATGAGGATAAGCCATTGAGACACAAACCTTGCATTTCTGCATGATTGTCTAGCTTCCGCTTAAAAATCTCCAGAGATGGCGCTGTAGTCACGGCCGCCGGTAAAGCGTTCCAGAGACGGCAAACACGAAGCGAAAAGAAATGTGATCGCACTCGAGTCTTTGGTCTCTGGTGTGCCATCCTTAGCGGGTTACCTCGTGGAGGCCTATAGTCACTTAATGGCAGGATGCTTTTATTTGGGTGGGCCTGGTCATTTAGGATCTTTTAGACGGTGATGAGGTCTCGCCTGTGCCTTCGGTAACTAAGTGTGAAAAGACCTAATTTCTTTAGTCTTTCCTCATATGATTTGTTGCGGAGGCCGATCACCCAGTTTCCCAGAGTTTGCAGGTCCGCCTGCAATCTGTCTGAGTCTTCCGATGAGTTTATTGCTCTCCAAATCTTTACGTCGTCAGCGTAAAGAAGCGCAGAGCAGTTTAGTTGGGAGGGTAGGTCGTTGATAAAAATCAAAAACATCAACGGCCCTAGGATAGAACCCTGAGGAACCCCTGATGCCAAGGTGTGCCAGAATGATCGGATGCGGTTGACTTTGGTGCAGATTTCTCTCTCGCCTAAGTAATCTGTCAGCCATGCGAGAAATGCTCCAGAAACACCCGCCTTGCTTATTTTGTGAAGGAGCAGACCATGGTGAACTGTGTCGAATGCTTTCGCAAAGTCGAGAAAGATCACGTGGGCTGGTACCTTTTCATCCCAGGATAGTGTCCAATCGCTCCAAGCTAGTAGAAGATTCGTCACGCAGGATCTTCCCCTCCTAAAACCGTGCTGTGATTCGTGAAGAAGGTTAGTCCCATCGAAGTATTTTCTCATGTGGTCGTCAATGATACTTTCCAATATCTTCGATACCACTGGAAGTAGAGCAACTGGTCTGTAACTGGTCGCATTCTGCCGGTTACCACTCTTGAAGATAGGGGATAGGATTGCTCGTTTCCATTCACATGGAAGTTTCCCTACATCAAGGGAGTGTTGGAACAGGTCACTTAGGGGTTGGCGGAGACTTTCTGAACACTGCTTCAGGACAGATGGTCTGATGTCATCACAACCTGAAGACTGTCCCGAAGCCAACCCTCCCAATTTTGCAAGTACCATAGCCGGGGTAATTTGAAATGTACCCGGGAGGTTTTCGCGTGTTGGTTTTGCGATGTAATCTGGATGTTCTGTGGGGGTAATATCCTCGTTACTGTTTAGTTGCCTGTGAAAGGCTAGGCTGAATGTCTCTGCCATTTCAAGACTAGTAAGAGATTTCCCATCAGAACCCACTAGATTGCATGCTCCCTGGTTGGTCGGTTTTCTTTCGGACATGAACCTGTAGAGGCTTTTGGGGTTCACGAGAAGCTTATTGGCGAGGTCTCCCTGAAATGTCCTTCTATCGCTCCGGACTCGTATGTTACATCGATTCCTGAGTTCAAGATACACTTCATATTCGGGTTGACTCTTCGATCGCCGCCACGCAAACCAGGCTTTTCGCTTCGCATGCAGAAGGCGTCGTGTCCCCCTTGTTAGCCATGATCGTTGCTTCATAGCTTTTGGTGTGACTAAAGGAACAGTGTCTGAGACCGCCTGATGAATGATATCCTTTACCACTCTCCAGTGTTCTTCAACTGTTAGCTCGGTCCATTTTATAGGCCAATTTGCTTCAGACAGAAGTGTCAATCACGTCTCATAAACCGTTAATGCCCAGCTCTTACTACGCTCGGGCCCACGCTGTTCTTCGAAGATTTCAGAAACGCTTAGTTATAACGGACGAAAAAACCAAAACACCGATCTGCCGTTTGATATTTCTTTATTGTTACACCAACATATAAAAAGAATAAGCGAGCTAAGGTCTGAAAACAAATATTACAATAATAAATCATTGTATTACTTCTGACGATGTTTCACTCTTCTTTCTGAACAGCGACCGATGAGACGATGACTGTCGTATTGATGCCTCCGCGAAAATTGGGGAAGTTGATTTTAAGCAAACAACCAAGAATTGATCGTTCAATCTTCAGCTTCATTGACAAGAAGTCTTCGCATTTTGGTGCTGTTGGCTTTGTTATAACACAGATAGGGCTGTGTATTGTCCCACTGTAAGCGCTCGCGGAGGACTATGTCGAATACTATGACCGCGTGGTCACTACTACCTATGGGAGTCGTGATCTGAACGTTTTCCACTAGTAGCTGGTCACTAGTGAGCACGTAATCCAGTCTAGAAGACTTCCCATCAGGGCCCCATCTAGTATCCATCTTGACATTTTCAGTGAATCCAGCCTTCCTGATGGTATGCAGCAGATTTCGATCAAATCTATCATGGGCTTTTCCCGACACCAAGTTAAGAGATGGGGCATTGAAGTCACCAGCTATGACAATTTGATCATAACCCATGTCTTGAGTCGCTGAGATTGTATTTAGCAGTACCTGGTTGTGGTCTGCTCCACATGAAGGTGATCGATAAATGCTGCCCACTAGATATTTGCAGTACCCAACGGTGAAGTGGCACCATATGGAGTCAGGGAGCTCTGTGAGGGGAGGGTCCATCGCGTGAACACATCTGAGCTGTTTGTCGACGTATATGGCGACTCCACCTCCTTCTTTCAGGTCCCTATCTCGCCTGACTAGGACCATATCATTTATACTGACTTCGCTGTCTGCCACCGTAGGGGTTAGCCAGGTTTCCGTCAGTATTATGATTTTGGAGTTCAGTTGTGATTGTAGGTGTCTAAGTTCAGCTATTTTGCCTCTTAGCCCTCTCACATTACTATACAGGCAACTGGTAGTCAGTCTCACCACTTCCCCGTATTGGGGGGTAGTTGACTTGATATTGGCTATCGGTTGAGGGTTATCCTACGAACTAGTTGGCCGATTCCCCAGGAACCGGCCTGTTGGCGTTTTTTTCTTCTAGTTCAGTCGGAGCACTCGGATGACACTGGCTATCATCGTCCGTGCTGCACCGCTGTAGTGTGACTAGGGGTTGAGGATTTTCTTTACTACGCTTTGTTCTCTCCTTTGAGTGCGAGGCCGGCTCTCGCAGCAGCGAATGTGTTTGCTGACCTTGTCCTTGGTCTCGTACCATCTTTGGAGAGCGGTAGTCAACTGGTCTTGGAGCTGAACTTGACAGCTAACAGACGTGGCGAGTTAATTGACATAAGATGAGTGGGTCGAGGCAGTCTATAAATAGAGACAGCCCCTGAACTCCCAGGGCCATCTGGGATGCCAACCATCTCCATTGTTGTACATCATGACAATGCTTTTCGCAGGCGTTCCCAGTTACCAGTTCGGGAATGCCATGCACAACCATGGAGGCAGAAGGAATGAGCTCTGGCGACTCCCTCGCCATTTGTCTTTCCTTCCACGGCCTGTCTGGCTTAACACGTATGTTACAGGCCCTCCCTATAGAAAGGACTTGAGAAGCCAGTAACACTTTTTCAACATCCTCAGTAGAGCCCAATGTTACCCTCAGTGGGGATGGTTTGCCTTCAGGTGCAGCAGTGCCCTTGTACAATCTGCATAGATTTACTGGTTGGATGTCCAAACCCAGTGTGCTGCACAAGATGGACCACTGTTCCTGATCAAATAGGGCCCTATCTTTCAGCAGACTACTGCTACAGTCTGGTACGTTAAAGAGGATTACACAATTTGATCTACTAACCGTGGGCTTGGGCTCGGTCCTCGCACATTTGTGATTTCCTTTAAGACCGTTTTGGTTCGTCTGGTTCGACTGGGTATTTTTTGTGTCTCAGTGCTGTGGCCAATATTACTGGCAGACGAGGGGGGTCTTTTTCCAACGACGGAGAATATTAGAATCATTTTTTGTTGTTAACAGTAATGAAAGTTTTCCACATACTTAGTATAGGTATTTTCTTCCTTCTGTTTGCTGCTGATTTGTTTTTTGGCATACAACTGCAGTCTCCGTTGGGTTTATAGGCCCAAGTGGTATGAGATTCTTACTGTATTCGTAGTTGGGATATGCGGACTAATTAAAGGGCTGAAAGTCCCTCTTGTAACACTTGTCTTATTAAGCTCGCGAAGATCACTGGGAAAAGCAGCGAGAATTAATTTCCACTGATGAAATGTAAGACATAAAAAAGTTAATGAAAAATGACTATTTGGAGATTATGGGAGCTGGTAAATGTAAGAACCGAGAGCTAATCTTTCAAGGTGCATTAGGTGGTGGTGATATTGTGTCGTCATGCTTCTGTTAGGACTCACTTCTGCGTAATGAGACCTCATTCCAGATTTGCGTGTTCAGTCTTTGATGTCTTTCTCTAGTACAGCTGGCTTCAATGTTAAAATGTGCTCCCGAGGTTTTTTAAAGAAGAAAAGACCTATG